AACAATGAAAGAATCTTTTCTTTTACTTTTCCATAATTTTTGGACTCATGTACTTATAACTTGTTAGTCAAATTTGTGTCTTCTAGGTTGCAACACCCCCATGATACATCTTCAAGGATATGTACATGTACAGCCAAGCACAATCAATAAGAGTGCATCTGAATTCCAAAATCAATCTCCATAAAAGTCTATGTGTTTCCTACTGCCAAAGGGGCCCTTTAGAGTAGTGAGAGAAGATCTTCACCCTGAAACCCACAGCGTCCCTTTTCAGCAGGAAGTAGCTAAGAGAATACGCCATCCCCTTTTCCTTATGACTCAGGGTGAAGTCTCTCTCAGGGAGGAGTGATAGGGAATGGCAAAGGATACACTGACAAAGAAGATTAATCAGAACTGGCTTTGACAAGCACTGTGGCATATGGACAAGAACAAACTGGGAGGAGGGTAGAAAGAATAGAGCAACAATGAATGAGTGGAAGCCCAAAATCTCTGTAAATGTTTATGAAAATTAATAAAATATAATTATAGAAAAAAAAAAAAGAAATGAGCTTTTAGGTCCCACCTCAAACTTCATTAATCAGATTCTGTGTTTGTAGTCTCTGCTGAAACTGGGACAAAGTCTCATTTAATATAGTGTTATTCTAGATAAGAGAACAAGAATATCACAAATTCTCATAAATACTTTTTCTTAAATAGAGTTGGAAAATGTATGCTCCATAATCCACTAAGGGTGTGCTTTCTGGCAAATTTTATTCTACTTAGTTACAAAGACTGAGTTGCTCTGCCCTCCTGACCTGGACCAGAAGAAATGAAAAGAACTCTAATTACTGATTCACCTCTAAAGAGAAAAACGGAAAATTAAAAAATAGTATCAAGATAAAAACCATAATCTCATGTTGCATGAATGTAATAATGGATATAAAAGCATATATTAAATTATAGACTCTTAATGTAAGGTATTAATTATTGATTTTTATTTTTATATCTCTTGGCACAGTTCCTTTAAGGCTTTTTTCTAATATTAAATTTACTAAAAATGTATATAATATGAAATCACTTTCAGGTTTTGAAGAGTTCTAATTTATTATTTGTAAGTTTGGATAAGGGAAAGTTGGAGCTGAAACTTTTAGTAGACATTTTAATTGTGTCTCCCAGCACTTTTCTTACTATCATTCTTCATTTTAACGTACATGGAAAAAAATGACAGCAGGCGAAGAATTTAACACTGTAGGCATTGTGTTAGCATTGAAATTATCAGGAAGGAAATAAATATAAGTGTCTGTTTGTACTAAATGTGTTTTATTAGCCATCTCTTATAAAGATGTCAATTTTTAGCAAGAGGTACAACATTTTAAAGAATTTAAAGGCTGCTAGTATGAAGTGTGAGAAAATGGAGCTCTTAGGATTTTGGACAATGAGTGTCTCTGGGTGAATGTGAACTCTGTGAATAGCTTTGTTATGGTGGGGGGTCAGAAAAAGCCTGGCATATCCACATTAATCTTCCTTTTATTCCAAGAGATTAAACATCTTGAATATGCCCTCACCTTCACCCTTCCAAAAGTCAATGTCTCATTTAAAAAAAAAAAAAAAAGAGCAGGAATGAGAACGCGAACAAGCTAATTTAAGGTTTTCTGCTTCTCTCTTAATATACCGTTCCCACAGCTAACACTTCTGTGTTTTATTCCACATTTTATATTCGTGAAATTCTGACTGTGCCTTTGACCATCTATTTTTTCTTCTTTAGATTAGTTCAGCATGACTGTCTTGCAGTTAACTTAATACAGCTTTGTCTCCCAAAGTAATATTTAGTATTGCCATCTGAAAAAAGCATTAAGAGCTTTAGATTTCTGCATATTCTTTTCCTAAGAAACCATAATTGACCAACACCATACTCAGCTTCCCATTTTGTAATCAAGTAGGCATCAAAATGGATGTTACAGGTAGCCCACACATTTATTCTTCTATAGCCATAGAATATTTTAAAACACTTAGTGTTTTATAAGCTGATTTTTTCCACACCTGCTGCAAAAAAAAAAAAAAGACAAGCATAAAATGTCTTTGTTACACTCATTAAGGTTCCATAAAATGATATATCATCTCATAGTCTTGGTATCTTCTTATAAATGGTAATTTTGTATTACAGAGTTCATCATGGAGCTCATAGTCCAAATCAGAATTCCACAGCTTTGTTGAAAGGATGCCACAAAGCTGGGAGAAGACTCCCTTTCTCTGAAAGCAGCCTCATTCATTCACCCCTTGTGCTAATTGTTAGAAAATCTTTTCCCATATTGATTGCAAATATACTTCTCTGTTACATTTTTTGTTGTTGTTGGTAACAGTACTTTTTGGAGAGCTACAGATCATTTCTCCATGGTGAAGTGACCATTGTCTGGCAGAACAAGCAAAGACATTTGAATCCTGGTACTATCATTTATTAGTTGTGTTTACCTGGAGAAATATATTTTAGCTTCACTCTGCTTTCCTTTCTTCACATTCAAGATGTGAAGAATTGTATACAGTAGTCCTCTCTCCTTATCGGCAATTTTGTTTTTCTTCACTTCAGTTTTCCAGTAGTTGGCTTCACAGTCAAGATGTTAAATGAGTGAGTTGTTGTTGTTGTTGTGTGCTGTCAAGTCGCCTGCAACTCATAGCGACACTATGTACAACAGCCCTAAACCCTGCTCTCTCCTGTGCCAATCGCACTGTCTCTGACACTCCTACCCCCATAACCCTAGTCACTGAGTCAATCCACCTCATAGCATGATGAAATTGTTGGCATTCTACTTCATCAGTCACATGATTTCTGTTGGAGTATATTGTTATACTTATTCTCTTAGGTTTCTTTTGTTAATTTTCTAATGTGCCTAACTTAAAAATTAAACTTTATCATGATTGGTATTATTGTTCTTTGATTTTGAGTCAGAACTGACTCATAGCTGACCCTCTAGCAGATTTTTAAGATAATGTAAATCAGATGAGAGATACCCAGCTTTCTCCAGTGGAACAGCTGAGCGCACAAGCAGTTCTTTATCCACCAAGTCACCAGAATCCCCTAAACGTAATCCCCTAAACACCCTAAATCATGGGTGTTTATGATTAAAGGAGTCCAGGTGATGTGGTGCATATTGTGCTAAGCTGCTAACTGGTCAGTGGTTCAGATCTTCCATCTGTTCCCCAGGTGAAAGATAGAGCCTCCTTCTGTAAAGACTAACAGCCTCCAAAATCCAATGGAGGTTCACCATCAATCAGACTGACTTGTTGAGAGTGTTTTGTTTTGTTTTGGTTTATTTAGATTTTTAGAATAAAACATCTTATGTATTGGCTTAATCCTGTCAATGGTTTCAGGCATGGAAAGTAGTTCTCTTATACTTCTTATGTATAAGAGGGCCTGCTTACTGTATAGTATCAAAGACCAAAGTTGAGGTTACATCTCAACATCAAAAAAACAAAAGTCTTCACCACTAGGCCAAAACTTGCTTGGATCAAATATCAACAGTCTTGGTATCAGCAGCTTGGAAATCAAAGGAGGTATTGCACTGGGAAAGTATCCTATAAGGGACCTCTCCAAAGTACTGAATAGCAATGACATCAGTTTGAAGACTAAGGTGCACCTAATCCAAACCATGGTCTTTTTAATTACTTGCTAAGCAGCTGGAAGTTGGACAGTAAATAAGGAAGACAGAAGGAAAATTAATGCCATTGCATTGTGATGTCAAAGAAGAGTTCTGAATATTCCATTTACTGGCAAAAGGACAAATAAATATGTCTTGGGTAAAGTGCATCCAGGGTGTTGCTAGAAGCAAGCATAGTGAATATTTGTCTCACATATTTGGGGCATATTGATAGGAGGGGCCTGTCCTTAGAAAAGGAAATTTTACTTAAAAAAGTGGAGTGTCAGCAGAGGAAAAGAAGACCCTCAGTGAGATGGATCAACATAGTGACTGGAAGCATGTGCTCAAGTATGCCAAATATGATGAGGGTTACACAGGATAGAGCAGAGTCAGATCTGTTCTTCATGGGGTAGCTATGAGTCGTAGTCACTTAACGATAACAACTGCATTATACCTTTATTATATATAAAATTATATTAAAAGATACATAATATTAAATAGTATCAATTGGGATTTTCCAGACACATAAAAGTGCCTTAAAATTTATTATACTTATTACTATTACTCATTTTAATACATTCTAACTCACTTGTTTCCTTCCATTTCTAACTCTGCTTCTTCAAAAAGCAGGAAGGGTACCCTACATTTCAGTATAGACTATTTCCACAATCTTAAATGCGTGGTAAGATTTTTTTTTCTATAAAGAAAAGGAAACAATCTTAGACTGTGTGTGTGTGTGTGTGTGTGTGTGAAGTTTTGGAAGATTAATTCCACAGGCCTCAGCTACTTTTGGTGAATATAATGGAAGACTTTGGCATCCTAAAATGATCCGATTTGAGTCACTCTAAAAATTTCTCTGAGATTTTGGACCTAGGTCTTTCCATTGATTTTAACCAAGTTGATAATTTTCAAATCTGTGTTAACAGGAGAATGTGGCAATCTTGTATATATTATTTAATATATAGGACCTCTTTCATATTCAGGAATTTGAGAAATGTTGCTTTAAGGGTTGGAATTACTGAATTTAAAGATCATTTTTTTTAAAAAAAGACTACAAAAGATAAATTTTATAATCACAAATCCAAACCCTCTGCTCTTGAGTCAGTTCCAACTCGTATTGATGTTCCATAGAGTTTCTGAGACTGTAAACCATGATAGGAGGAGACTACCCACCTTTACCCTGTGAGGCAGCTGGGCAGGTGTTGGATTTGAACCGCTGACCTTTCAAGTAGCAGTGCAACATTATTCCAGTAGCGCTCCATAAATTCTTAAGTGAGCTGAATTTTTCTTACTTTATAACTTTACGTAGAGGTTTGTGTATGGTGATTTTTGTTTGTGTACACCTGCGTTTCATTTTTGTTTCTCTCCTATGATTGTGTTCTTTTATGAAAGTTATCAGAGGATTTTTAGCACGCCAGCGCTTGCTTCAGAAAATGAGCATCAAACAGCAAGAGGTCACATCCATCAATAGCTTTCTACAGAATACAGAGGACATGGGGCTGAAAACCTATGATGCCCTGGTCATTCAAAATGCCTCAGACATTGCCCGGGAGAATGACCGGCTCCGGAATGAAATTAATGCCACTTCCCATAAAGAAAAGTTAGAGGCCAGGAACAAACAAGAGGAAGGAATCAAAAGGTAAGGATAGATAATATACAACTTTAATTACCTTTGTAATTGATCCAATGGAGTCCTAAGAATTCTGATAGCTCTTAATGTGAAGTTCAATCAAATATGACAGTAGTTACTGGAACAGGCATTCATGCAGAGTATGCTATTTGATACCACCTAGTAGCCTAAAAAGATGTTTCTTTGTGTGCTTTTCTTCGATGAAATAGATGCTGTGTTTGTTAATTTAATTCTTTGAAAGAATTGTTATTTCATTTGCAATGCTTGTGCCATTGATTGACTATCTTAAGCATATTCAAAGTTTTAAAGCCCTTAATATGTCTTCATTTGCAAAAAAAAACATAGCTGGGCTTTAAATGCAGAACTTAATTCTAAAAAATAAAAATAAAAATTGAAACTCCATTCTGACAACATGAAAGTAGTAGAATCAATAGAATGTATCTATTACATTCTCGCTCCTAAATGGCCACATTGACTTTACCAGTAAGGAAAACATTCCAAAAACATTTTATTTACAATTTCACTTTGAATGCCAAGGTAGAGAGAGATAGATGTGAAGGCAAACTGGCTCTTCTCCATTTTTCCATACCTCCTTCTCCTTAAATGATGAGGACACCTGTGCATGGCAACCACCCTCCCAGGGACGCAACCACCTGTTTCCTTTGAATCTTAATTGACTTGTCAGGGATATGTTTATTTTTCCATAGGAACTTGATAGTGTCTCGATGTTTCTCACGGAAAATGACTCCCCTTGGCCTTTAACGCCTGTGTCAACTAACTTTTTATTAAAATGAAAATGGCAATGTGTCTCTCTGGTTAATTAGCTCCAAATATCTCAGTGATTAAATACTAGGGGGGGGGAATCCCCCTTGTACAGAAAACTGTAATTAAACATTAAAGGGAAAACAAATTATCCACTGAGTGCCACCCTTTCATCTTTAGCGATTTCACTGCCACATGGGCATCTGGCTCTATCTTGTGGTATATTCCAGCCCTGTTGGTGTTCTGCCACACAAATATATAATTATAAAAACAAATGCTCTGGAAACTCCTTATAAAATGAATGCACTGGCATCTAGCTAATGCCTGATTACATTGACATGTAAAGCCCAGAAGAATTTTTAAACCAGATAACTATTAATTTTATACAACTTCCAGAATAATATTTATTATTTTCTCTGCTGGAATTAAACAACCACCCCAGATTCTCAATCTGATTATGTATTTATTGGCCTGACATAAAATTAAGTGAAGAATTGTTTGTCTATTTATCTGTTGAGCACCAGCAGTGATATTGGCATTGGGCAACTGTGTAGAGTAACAGGCAAAAAATAATAATACTTTACATAATGAAGTAATTGGTGATTGAATTAAAATGTCATGGCAAAAAAGAGCTAGGATGAGAAAGCCCAAGTGTAAATCTTTGATAGTTTTGAGTGCGCACTCCCTTTACAAGGGGGAAAGATGATGAACTTCCCATGTTTGCTGCATCAGTAACTCTCTATGAAGATGGATTTCCCAGAAATTATCATTCAGATTGAAATTTTGGTTTTCTGATTTGCTTAATAATTCGAGTGTGAAAAATTCATTCAGTGAATGCTCAACAGAAAATGTGAAACCACTAAAGAGATGTCTGTGTGAGGGTCTTGAAGAGTAATAATCATGAGTGTCCAATGTTCTCATCTATTATGAAGCCAGGGAGGGGAGACCAGGGCAGTTTTCTCTGGATCTGTTCATCACCAGGAAACTGCACACACATCCCCTGGCCACAGCAGGGCTGGGGAGAGACTGTTTACCAAAAAGCTGTTATTATGCTTGCTTGAACAGGTTCTTTGTTAATATTTGAATAATGCATATGAGCTTCTCTTCTCTGATGCTGTTTGTGTGTTGTTACCCTCTAAGAGCCGAGGACAAATGTGGACCCAGACATTTTCATTCCAACTCTGTCCCAGTCCCGATAGCGGTGGAGAGCCTGGCACAGTCCCTGTCTGGATCGTCTATCAGGTCTCCTTCTCTGCACTCAGTGTTCAGCATGGATGACAGCAGTGGCCTACCATCACCACGGAAACAGCCTCCGCCCAAGCCAAAGAGAGACCCCAACACCAGGCTGAGTGCCTCTTATGAGGCTGTGAGTGCCTGCTTGTCTGCAGCCACTAAGGAAACAGCTAATGAAGGTTAGCTAAAAGCAAATGAGAAAATAACATTGTCGAGGTTTATTGATGTTCTGACTTCCGTTCTTTAAGTGCTCCAAAGCTGTATTGTTTCTCTAATATATTTTTAATAGATATAAATCCAATTGTTGGCTCGCCGGTGGCTCTTTAATCATTAAATATAAATAACATTTATTCAAATTTCTAAGCCTCTTAGGGAAAAGCTACTTATATATCATTTCCTTAACTCCCGTTGCCACCTCAGCATTGAATGAACAACATCATACCAGAGCAATCCAAGGACTTAGTCACTGTTACATGTAATTTTCCACAAATTAAAATGTAGACAATTCCACCAAGTTTTTCTGATATCACAATCTAATAAAAAATTAAACCTACTTTGTCATATGGAAGGAGAAATATTTACACAGTGGAGAATTATTGGCATCCAAATCATTAGGGAAACCCTGGGGACTCCATAACAACATGGATCCGTTGTAGTCTAGAAATATTTATTTGAAAAAGAAAAACACAGTATTATTAACAATAAAATCCCTGACAAATTAATCTCATGAAAACTCATTGCCAACAATTCAGAACCAACTCCTAGCTGACACTGCATTGGTTTTCTGAGGCTGTAAATCACTCAGAGAAGAGACTGCCCATCTTCCTCCTAAGGAACTGTTGATTGATTTGAACCACTAGAGAGAGATACAGCACTTTATGTTAGCTCTGCAAGTCTTATGAATTACTATAAATATGATAGTTCTGTTCTAATAACTAATTTATATTACATTAATAACAAAAGGAGTATTTCTACATAGAATATTCATTCAACCAATCATTCAACAGATAGGAAGATTCATCTAATGTGTTAGACTCTTAAGGTGCTCTGATGGCAGAGTTGTACAGCTAACGATAAAATCTACAGTTCTAATCCACCAGCTACTCCAAGAAAGAAAGATGGACAGTCTCCTCCTGTTAAGATTTACAGCCTCAGAATCCCTGATGGTCATCATGAATCAGAATCAGCTAACGAAAGAGGGCGGTTTGGGGTATGTAATACCCTATTCTAGGGGCAGATAATATAAGAGTGGCCAAAGCAAAAAGATATTACCTAATGGGATTTATATTCCAGTAGAGGAAGACAGATGGTAAATATAATAAAAAAACACAATATAAGCCAAAAGTAAACACGTTGTTGTTGTTAGATACTATGAAGTCAACTATGACTCATCGACACTATGAACAATAGACATGAAACCTGCCCTATCCTGTGCTATCTGCATTGCTTCTGCCACATTTGACCTGTTGTTACAGTCACTGTGTCAATCCATCTCATTGAGGGTCTTCTCCCCATTCACTGACTTTACCATTCATGATGTCCTTTTCCAGGGACTTGCTCCTCCTAATAACATGCCCAAAGTATGTGAGAAGAATTTTCACCATCCTTTCCTCAAAGGAGTACCTGGCTACAACCTATCCAAGGCATATCTATGTGTTCTCTTGGAAGTTTGTGGAATATTACTTTGCTCCAGCACCACTCAAATGCATCAGTTCTTCTGCCATCTTTATCACTGTC